ATAACATTGTGATAGAAATTTTATAAAAACTTTCTTAGATGAGAATGTTTGAGGGAATTTAGGTAATTTTAACATGAATAAGTTATATATGCTAACTTATTTTAAGTGCATGAAAAGATACATTTAAACTGTTAGTCAGTTAAAACTACAGGTTTGAAACTACAGGTATTTTTGTAAACATTTTATGATAATTGTTGTAATTTGATACCCTAAATAGTAATTAGGGTAATATTTTTTACGATCATAGTTCAGCAGGGTGCATTTGCGTCCTCAAGTGCATATGTGCATGCTATGAAATATAATGATATTATCGTAAATCAATAATATAAATAATACTAAAAGTAATGCTATTTAAGTAATGTAATAAGTAATATAAGTAACTGTTATAAGGACTTTTATCATCCTAAATAAACAAAACAGAGTAGAATAGATAGAATAATAAAGATGTTTGGCATCTTAAAGGAAATGACTCATAAGATAGAATAAGCTAGCATATAAGACGAAATCTGACAATAATGAAGTAAGTTATAAAATCAATTTACAAGTGTTAAGTTTGTGCTTCCATAATATTTAAAATATTTTAATACAGATATTTTAGTAAGAATTTCTGCGAACAAAGCGCATAAAACTAACTTAAATAATGTATTTGGAATGGTAAGTGATTTGTTAATTTTGAAAATATGAAGTAATAATGCAAGAAAATAATATTGCATAAATGAATAAAAAGTATGTGAAAATTAAAAAATAAAAAACTAAGATAAGAAAAACTTTTAATATCAGTTTTTAAAACATCAAAAGTTATAAATAAATTTAAATATATGCAAACTATGAAATAAAAGTTATACAGACTTGAACAACAAAATATACTCATATATTTATGAAGTTTCTACTATGCAAAGTTCATAGTTCCAAGTTTTACTCTGTTCCATTACTGTGAACTAAAACGAACTAATAAAAAGTTTATACTTTCTTGAAACAAGCACAGAAATATATATTTTAAATACTCGTTAAATTAAATTTTACCATAAAAATTTCTATTAAAATGATGAAATGACTTCAACATGCAGATAAAGTTTATATACATAAACATCACCATAAGTTCTCATTTTATTTTGTTTTATGTTTGGATTCACAAAGTAAAATTATGAATTTTATATATCAATTTGAGAGCTTCTCTTATATACAGAACATTGCATTTTTATAATGGTATTAAATTATATTTCAGTCAAAAATATATTTAGTATAACAAAATGTGCAAAGAAAAAACTTTTCATACACAAAAAATGACAAAAAATGTAAATGACTTCACCAAAGGAAGTACAAGCTTAGGAGCATAATATGTTAATCCTGGAAACCATTTGCATTCTATACCAGACAATTTATCCCTTGAATTTTTCAATACCATTCGAGAAACGGAAGTGCACATGACTGAAACTCGGGGGCTGACCTAAATTCAACTTTTAGCACAGAACCATTGACACAAAGTTAAACTCACATTGCACATTTACATGCTACCAAAAAAATAAAATAAATATTAAAAAAAAAGTGCAGAATTTTGGCAAATTTGTTGGTAAGTGCAACAAATTTGTGCTAGAAGCAATTCAGATACAGATATTTGCTTTTAAATTCAACTAAATCCAAATAAAGCTATTCAAATAACAATAAATAAAAAAAATTTAAAAGAAAATAAAAATAAGTGCTAATAAAATTCAATTTATATTTATATTTTTTGATTTAGATATTTATTAAAAATCTGCCATAAATTGCTCAACTATATTAGCAGCAACTTTACATTTTTTAAATGTCTTATAACAATCTACTCCTGATTTACCAGCAACGTGTGCTTCCTTATAAGCAGTATCCATAAACTCGGTACCTGGTCTGTGTTATAATAAATTAAATATATATGTTATAAAATTCAAGAATGTTAGATAGTTGTTAAGTTTATTTAACTTACGTCAGTACTATATTATAGATTTCAGCAAATACGCCCACATGTTGCTCTATTTGTGCATTCTTACATATTGAACGCAGTAAGCAATCATGTCCATTACCATGCGTTTTGTTCATAAAAGACTCCAGTGCAATATATACAAGCAGTCTGGCATCATCTTTTCGAAATATCCCATCTTTATCGATATTTGTTCGCATTCTGCCAACAGAACGTGAGAATATTGTTTCCCATTTATCCCATGGATACAGTGGTGTAGATTGTATGGTATATGTCCCACCTTGCAGATTGTATGTGTTAATTATGCTGCGCCAATCAACAGGATCGCCGAAATCAAGTGGTAAAGCTGGACCCATTACAAGCTTTGGGAAGAAAATATAAATGTTGAAACAAAGTTTAAAATTAAGATTAAAAATATATTAATATTGTTTTTTATTTTATTAATTATGCTAATTTTAAGGAAATGTGTTATTTTAAATTAACGCATTGAAAGTTTCAACCATGTCATACATTCATTATGCTCTATAGGTTCTTACGTATATATCGTCTATACAGAACTTTTGCTCCAAACAAATCATAAAGCTGCTGTAACCGAAATAAAAATGCGAAAATGGAATTGGATAGAGCATACTATCCGACGATCAAATATGTACATTCAACGACAAGCTTTGACATGGAGTCCACAAGACTGCATACTTCTGGTGTACCGGCTTTAACTTGGAGAATTGAGTGAGAAGTAACAGAAGCGCACTACACATGAAACGATGTATGCAGAAAAGCACCTAACAGAGTGCGGTTTAAGAGAATCGGTGCGGTCCTATGCCGCACTAGGGCCACTAGGCAAACGGATACAAAGAATAAAAAGAAGAATATATATACATATATTTTTTTTATATATATTTGATTTTACGTAGTAACTTATTTGTAACTAAATATTTGTCATAGTTTGGTGGTAAATATTGTTTTTTTTTGTAAAAATACGAATTTAAAAGTTTAATTGGGTTTTACAACATTTTCAAGTAGGGACCGCAACACGATCAATTCGATGCAGCATTTTCTTATAAACCCTGACTAATACTATATACAAGACATATACAAGTACATGATAATTATTTGAGTATAATATTATATGTTTAATTTTATCTATTAAAATATAATAGAAAAAAAATATTACATAGTATTCCTATCCGTAAAATAATCAATGGATTTTAATGTTAAATGGGTGGTAATATAGCAATAATGATACAGTCGATAATCTCAATATGAAATTTATAAACATAAGTTGAGTAAATATATAAATCTCCACTTATCTATATAATTTACATTTAAATGTTTTAATATATCTACTATGTATTTGTATTATATACTAAGGGCATTGTAGGAATCAGTGACAGCTATAAAAATATTTCTATCAACAGACAAAATATGCACTGATTTAATTTATGTAGTATTGTACATATTGTATTGTATTTAGGGCACTAAGAACTCATTAAAAACAGCACTGTTTATATAAAACAAGAGTTACGGAAATGGATGGATAAGCCGCTAGGCAGTTTATTAGGTTGTGTAAAATCGGAGTTGCCTCAGTAAAATAAAATTAGTTTAACTTGATATAAATTGACAATTATTTTTATCAATATCTAACACATATTTTTTATATGTAAAATTTATTCATAACATTCAATAAAAATATTTTAAAGAGGTCACAATTTTGAATTGAATTATGGGGTTATATTATATTATTTGCAAGGAGAAAAAAATTAGGTTTTAATAAAATATCTTCGAGGTTTGTCATTATGTACAAATTCCAGGCTTGTTTATTTCTTAGTTAAAATAAATAATATTAATGATGATTATTGATAGAATTTTATGTATAAATGTCAAACGTTAAATTAAACTGAAACATCATATAGCATCATTATACTTTTCTGTATGTACACATTATTTTTTGTTTTAAAATATAACTTATTATATTAAAATACAACTTAGGGAGACGAAAAAATTTGGAGATTTTACGGTTTTGTTTAGTATTGCAAGGAATCAAACATGAGTATAGTACAATGCCTTTTTGAACCATTCTATTGTAGAGTTAAATTAAATTTGGGAAACTATTATTAAGATAAAAAAAAATAATCAGAAATCAGGTGAGTATATATGTATACTTAAATTTAAATCAATGACAACAATTTAGTGATAAATATTTGTTACTTTGGTTAACTACTTAAAGTTGTTATATGGAATGTTGTCAAGTATATACTCAGTTACATATATGAACATAGTTTTATAAGTAGACGTAGATGACTATATGTAGCTGCTATATAAAATTAAAACAAATTTTGACGTTTTAACGTTTTATCCGAATAAAATCCGATACAAGATAAATTTTTGGTAGGCATAGTTTTACCATTTTTATAATTAATTGCTAATATGAACAAAATTTATCGATAAAGTATGAATATAGTCTTTTCCTTTTCCATGATTTTGAGTTGAAAACTCTAGCATCAAACCTCTAGTACCTAAGATTTGCACTAAAGTGTTTATAATTATAAAATATTGGTACATCGTTATTATACAAATTTTTAATTGATTTAGATTTGAATAATCTGAATATATAAATAAATTCGATTGAGCAACTAAAATTAATCCAAACATCACTGTCAAAAATAGTATAGGTCTAATTTATTAAATAACAAACATATAACCTTTCTTAATTCTAATTTTTTAATTTATATTTCATGACTGAAGAGCTTTAGTTGGCATTACTTAACTTGATTATTCAAGGTATATATAAGCTAAGAATAAATTTTTTAAATATTTCATAAAAAATATAGAAACCACGCAAAGCTATAAATTACTTAAATTGCAACTAGAATTAAAATTATTATTTTTAATTTATTATTTCCATAAGAGAAAGTTTTTTTTCAGTCCTAAGTCAGTTAATTTACTTGACTTTTTAATTAAATTCTTAAGTATAACAAACAGTCTATATTTAAAAAAAGTACATATATAATTTGGATTTCACAATTTTTCTTATCATTTGTATCTACCATATGAAGATAAATCAAGAAGGCAAAGTATTAAACATTTATTAAAAATTGCCTAATATAGTCTTAATAAAATTTATTTAATTAGAAATCAGCCATATGTTGATCTAAAAAATTGGATATGACAGTACATTTGCCATATAACTTATTACATTCTATACCGGATTTACCAGCATCATACGCGGCTTTGTAAGCAGGTTCCAAAAGCATATTACCAGGTCTGTTTAATTAATTTTATAACTTTAATATAGCTTGTTATCTGACTTATGTATAATATTTCTTACGTAAGTACTATATTATATATCTCAGCAAAAACTCCAACATGTTGATCTATTTGTGCATTGACACAAATAGAACGAAGTAAGCAATCACGTCCGTTACCATGCAATTTATTCATAAAAGCTTCTAATGCGGTGTACACAAATAATCTCGAGTCATCTTCAACAAACTTATCAGGATAATGGATGCGTGCACGCATTCTACGCACAGAACGTGAAAAAATTGTTTCCCATTTATCCCATGGATATAGTGGTGTCGATTGTATGGTATATGTGCCACCTTGTAGATTATAAGCAGCAATTAAGCCTCTCCAATCAACAGGATCACCTAAAGGAACTGGCAATGCAGGCCCCATTACAAGCTTAATAAAAAATTACTGCTAAATTTTTTATATGTTTGAAAATATATCAAACTACAAATGGAAATTATTACAATTTTATTAATTTAAATATATTATAACGTTTAAGTAGCTTATAAAAACCTTTATGATGAAGTTTTTACAACACACTAATCTAGTTATATACAACATGAACTCATTTTTTATATATATATTTTATTTTATAATATTTTTTGTAATATAAAGATCACCCATGATAGTAAATTTTCAATTTTAATTTTAAGCTCACTTCATTTTTATTTTTTTTATTAAACACTATACTTCAATATTTAGTTTAACTACCTTAATATTTCCACCACCTTCAAATACAAGATGTCGTTTCTGGCGATGATTCAAAAACTCAGTTACATTGACACTAACATTTATTTTTGCCATTGCCAATGGGAATCTTAACCACACAAATGTCAGCAAAAAATTTAAAATGAAATATTTTCCCATTTTATTCTTTCAAATAGAAAATCTTTTATATCAAAGTAATAATAACTGAAAGTATCTGAAAGGAGAAGCGATAAGTACAATGTACACGACGGTGTCAAAATGTAACTGATTAAGATATCAGCCAGAGCAAGACTTACTGCAATCAATACTGAACAAAATAATCTGTTATACGTTCTTTATATATAAAATGAAGAGAGTATAGATGTATATAAGAATAAAATATTTTACTTAAAAAAAAAATTTTATTTGAATTTCCTATTAACACTTTAATTGGGTTAACGTTCTTGGTATGATGTTAACAGGAAGGTGTACTCATGTGAGTGGATTTGTAATTGAAATATAAAACACAGCGAAAAATAAATACAATTTTTTTTTTGCTCCAAGTGCACAAAGTTGTTGGAATTTTAAATAAAATAATTTAGATATTTTATTTCGTTTGAGTTAATTAAATAAAAATGCAATCAAAATTCCAGTAAAATTGAATTTTAAGCCAATACTAAATATTTAGAATTCTTTTCACTGTTCAATTGAATTCAATTTTTATTCAATTGTATTTTTTTGTTCATCAGATACAAAAATATTTTGACTAAACGAAATGAGAATACCCTTCGCTTACATTATGATTTATTTATTAAATATTAATTATTTAATATAAATTTACTTATAAATTAAATCCTTAATAACACACATTAAATCATGGCTCGTGTTCTTAAAAGCAGAGACCTTAACAGTTATCGTTAAAAAAATAAAAACCAATTTATAACTCAGCATTTGCATTTTAAAATAAAAAGCTGAATAAAATAAAAAGCAGTGTGTAAGAGTTAAAAAATAAAAGGCACATAATAATAACTATTTCTGAAAAATTAATCATAAAGCAATTACAATTATTATTTTTATAGCTTTATTTTAAAATGGTCATATATATACAGCATGCATAATATTAATGATGAAAATATTTTTAATGATAATTATGTACTTTAATAAGAGTTGAAACAACTTTTTGTTGTTGCATTTTTTCTTAAAAATGTTTGAAATAATTGTAATTTTCAGTGTCTGCTCATAAGTAAAACACGCTTAATGCTATCGCTCATTAATCCTGAATTTTAAAGAGAAGTAAAAGAGAAGTACTGGGTAGAAGTATAATAGAAGTAGAATAGCATTGAGTAATAATTAATATTGAGGTATTGGTTTTGTTATAAGATACGAGGACTCGAAGAAGTTTCACTGGATCAGTACAACTGTTCATGTGATACACCAAACAGTTGCAAATGAATTGTGTATCGGTGTTGTCTATGTAGCTGGTTCCATGAGGTGCGAACTAATTTGAATAGTACTATGGTTCGAATATATGTGAGATGACTGAAGATATTTAAACTGTTCAAAAATTAAATATGTTTTATGCTTCAGTTTATTTTCATGTTGTTTTATGCAAATATAACCTATAACAGCGAATGCTCGTAGACAAAATGGGGTTCGAAGGTGCTTCCTGTGGTCATGTGGTCATATAAGTTCAAGCATAATTTGAAAGAACTTGGTATCAAGAATTGGGAAACAGTTGGACAAAACTATAATGATTGATGGATTGTTAAAAGGAATCTTGAGGCTGTACTTATAGTACCTTGTAGCAGTAATGACGACGAAGAACAATTGATTATGATGATTGTTAATTATAACTACTAATTTATAAAGCAGTTAATTCTTCACAGATGGTAGTTTTATGTTATATTTATGTATTAAATGTATTAAAATATTTTCTTAAAAACAAAAATTTGGTAAAAATAAGTTTTGTTTTAATGATTAATTTTTTATAATGATTTTTAATAGAAAGTTTATTTTTATGAAAATACTGTTTCATAGTATGATAAACCAAATAAACGCTAGTTATAGAGACTATAAGAATTTACATTTTTTAGTCATTTAAAATTCTATCATCATTATAAAAACAACATAAAAAATTGATATTATGTGAAAAATGCAGAAATACCCATAAAGATATAATTAAATTATCGAAGTACTCGAATCCGCATAACAGCATGGAGCGTAGCAATTTCACTGAAATTACTTAAAAAAATATGTAGTCTACTTTGTTTTTTAATTATAAAAAATATCCTTTTTTGTTCTGAATATAATTACAAAGTTGATGAAGTTATTGTTAGCTGTCAAATATTTTGTGGTTCGAAGCTACCATTAAAAATTTATGAAGGACATTTGGTGTATACTATGTAATATAATATTAAATTCAATTAAATTTCATGCATTTCCTTTTTTAACAATTCTGAAAATTTAGTATTAATTTTCGAGGCATTTAATAAAAAATCTAGTTATTAAAGGAAATATTTTTCACTGAAACATATATTATATGTATATTATATATTAACGCTTTATGAGTTTAAGATTAATTGATTATTCTTAATTCTTGAAATTTTCCAAGTAAGAAGATAATAAATTTGTTATAAATATAATTGTATTCCTTATTTTTACTGTGTCAATAGTGGCATAAACATTGGCTTCCAATACTTCAAGAGTTGCTTATTTCTAGGCTGTCGGCATAAATCAATGACTTAACATAACCCAATAAAAAGTAATCGAAGGCGTTAAATCGCATAAACGAGGGGCCAGTTAACAGAACCATTTTTAAAAATAAAGTTGTTACCAAATATTTCAATTTACACCATCTCGTTGGAACCAAATGTCATTGATTTTTAATTGATTCATTTTTGGGAACAAAAATTCAGTCAGCATGGTTCTCGCCGTTCACTGTAACGGCAGCTCCTTCAACATTTCGAAAGAAATAAAGATATGATGATGCTACTAGCATCAATTATAAGGTATGTAATGGTGATTAAACGCTTTAGGATTGCCTCCGCTCCATATATGGCAATTTTGCTTATTGGCGTTGCCATTTAACTAGAAATGAGCTTCATCACTAAACAGAATTTTACGACAAAAAAACTCATTTTCGGCCAGTTTTAAATAAGCCCAATCAGCAAAAGTGCGACGCAAATGATTGTTCTTTGGCTTTAATTCTTGCACGAGTTGTATTTTATAGATACGTAAGCCAAGAACCCTAGGTAAAATTTTCAAAATAGTCGAAGGACAACAAGTTGAGAATGGTGACGAATCGATATTTTGGCGTATTTTTCAACTTTTCTCTTTGGTACTTACATTTGTTTGTCTTATTGATGGTTTTGAATCGAGAAGAGTTAAATTAGTGTTAAAACGATCAATAACTATAAGAATTGGCTAGCTAGACCGATTATGTTGATCGTGAAATGGACGAGCACTTCGTCCATTGTACTTTACAAACAGATTTATTTTTTGACAAGTAGTTTCCACAGTTTTAAGCGTTGCTCTAGCGTTAAACGTTACATGATAAATTGCCAAACCTTACTGGACAGAAAAATCAACACAATTTGATATTCGCAGCTGTCAAACCATAGTTGTCGATATCGATAGTTGTCATGCAGCTGAAAAACCACCCGATATTATCAGAATACTTTATACATTTTGTGATCTTGTTTCGTTTTAGTTTAAAATAGTTGCTGAAAGCTAATAACACCCATTATTTTATTTGGACGTAATGTTTGTAGTTAAAGTTTTATAAAGTTCATATATATTATTAGTTTAGTTTAATGCTGGGATTATAGTTTAATGTGATTATTTTTACAAAATAAATAATAATTTTATGAATAAATTATTTTATAATAAATATTGAACGTAAGAAATTGATAAACTAATTCATTTGGAATTAATTAACTTTTTAATATTAAATGCATAATTATATTTGCATATATCCTGAGGTAATCAGTTGCAGTTAAATTAAATTTACTAAGCCATCACCATCATATTTTTTACCCATATGTTCATATTCCATGCATATCAATTTTAATAATTTTAGTAATTTATTCCAAAAATGTTTGAATATTTAATTAGCATTTGGATTTACTGAAAAAAATTTAAATATAATGAAATTTATTTTAGTTGACACATGTTTGAGAATTATTTTGTTTGCTTTAAGTTAAAAGCAAATAAATAAACAAATATGCCATGCTGAACTTTAAATGATGAACTTTAAATTATGCATTTAATGCATGAATTGCTTACAATTAATTTTTTTTTCAGAGTCTAATTGGTATTTTCATTGAAATCAGTAAAATCAAAGCACATAATTCTGGTTGCACGCCTCAGATTGTACCATCAAATTGTGTACTTAGAATTTTCACCTTTTCTCGTTTTCCACGAAAACATCTGACCCATTTCGGTGGTTTACCTTTGACAATGTAAAACCTTGTACCTGGTAAATTTGCATTTTTTGGTGTATTTAAATGTTACAGATTCAGCCGTCTATTGTGTAGATTTTATGGATTTAGTGTGACTTCGCCTGGTGTTTTTAATGAAATTGAGAATTTGAATTGGGCGTTGATATTAAAAGTTTGGAGTGTGACATTTTTTCTTTGACATTTTTAAAAATTACTGCAAACCTTTTTTAAATGTTTTCGAAATAATTTGATATTTTGTTTAATATATGTTTCATTTTCTTTAATAATTACCTTTAAAAAGTTTAAAGGTTGCGATAGTTAATTTTTTTTATCAAAAGTGTTTGTACAGATATTAAATCTATATTATATTACAGAACAAGTTTTTTTTTTACAAAAATTTGATAGCTACTATTAATTGCAAGGGTAAAAATGTTTGTAACTAAATTTAAGAATCATGATGAGTTCCTGTATACATTTTTATTGAAAATTGTAAATAATTGATGTAATCACAATGAATACGGAGGCAAACACAATTTTTTTAGGTTGAACAGCAATAACTTAAGAAATAAATCGTTTTCAATCATTATAACAAATCATAATTTAAAACATAATTGAAACAGCTTGTGTTTCATTTCAAGAATAAAATCGATTATCAATTGAAGTGAGTTTTTAAAACTCTCCAGTCATGTTTGCAAGTGACATTCCGATTACAGAAAGACTGACTGGCTTAACACCTAATAATCATTTTAGTAGTGGGTATGTGCGAAAGAGCTATAATGCTTTATGACATTTGAAACCGACCATCGCCGGAATGGTGTGTCCGATTTCTACTGTATAGTATAGGAACTAATACACCCCTTCTTTTTTTCGAA